GCCAAGTCCGTATACCAGAGGATCAGGTGGTCAACATGGCCAATGATAATATGACACACCAATTACGGGACAAACTCGCTCTCCAGGAGTATCACGATTTCCGGCAGTTGACTTCTAAGGCCGTAAAAGCCGAACACCTTGTAAAGGAAGCCCAGACGGCTCGGAGTCAGAAGTTTCGAAACACAAATCATTGTGTTTTCACTCAAGAGGAGGCACTCGAAGAAGCAGAAGAAGGTGAGGAGACCTTCCTGACCGAGATAACACAAGGAAAGACGTACATATGTCCAGCCCTTAAGCCGCCTCGACGGAAAGACGCTAGCCCGAAGGTATCATATTCTTTCGATATCGCAAAAACCGAACAGATCTTCGAACATCTGCTAAAATATAACCAGCTTCATATTAAAGAGGGACACAAGATGCCGTCTGAAGAAGAACTGAATGGAAAATCGTTTTGCAAGTGGCACGGGATGTACGGTCATCAGATTGGTAACTGTATCGCTTTCCGAAATGCGGTTCAGAAAGCAATCAAAGAAGGCCGCCTTAAGCTGGCCGAGAAACCTGACATGAAGATAGATACAGAGCCGTTCCCCACGCCGATAAACGTCGTCGGAATGCGTCCCGCTAGGCCCAGAAAGACTAGATCAGATTATGGAACAGGCGGCAGGGGAACAGGCACTAAAAAATAGTGTTTGAAAGACTCGGAAGGGCTATCAAACCTCCGAGAAGAAGTTCGGTGTGGGACAGACTTGCCCCACGAATACAGTCGCCGAAGTAAGTTTTGAAAAAGGAGGGGAAGTTTGGCGAGTAACGTCCGTAGATCAAGTGGTGATCACACCCCACCTAACCCGACATCCTGGAAAGGCTCCAGACAACGGGAGTTGGGCACGAAATCAGAAGGATCGGTCGAGCCAACTCCTTACCAGAACTCAAAAACGGAGGGCCTAACGACAGCGCTTAGCCGCTCGTCTTGAACAGCAGGCTGGAAGGCAGCAAATGGCTCTTCATGCAAGAGAGACCAACATGCAGCACCAACAATCTGGAGGGAGGAACATGGAAAGATCATATTTAGATTGTCAGGACCTGCGCCATCACATCCAGACTCGGAAAGAGTGGAGGCCAAAAGGAGTTTTCTCAAGGGTCGAGTTTCCCCAAGAGACGAATTTCACGGTGACGATCGGGGAAAACCCGATTCCTGAAGATGAACCTAAGATCGACGCCCTCATTTGCGACAAGGCTTTGGAAGCAACTGCAGATATTATCACTGACGATGGAGATCTTGAACAACACAACACTGACCTCGAGATTGGGACAGTGGGCGTATTACCTCGGGAATTTTAAGCGCCCTCATCCCAACCTGATTTTCTCTAGGGGATATCTTGCTAGAAGAAATCAGCCCGTTGTATTGGGCAGAACAAGAACATAACATTTTGGAAAGACTCCCGGACCCAGTAGTTTTCCAGAAATTGTCTGATGAGAATACACGGCACCTTAAAACCGTTGTTTCTTACCATTTACCTCGATGGGAAAAACAGTCAGCAAAGTCCTGGTTGATGGGGGCATCAGTCAACATCATGACCTTGCCCACTTTGAGGAAAATAGGAAAAAATCGAAACGATCTAGTTCCAACATCATTGCGAACGACCGACTTCACTGGTAATACGCACACAGCCGCAGGCGTTTTAGTGGCAAAGGTGACGGTTGGAACTAGGATGGATCAGATGGCCTTCTTTGTCGTCGAAGGGAAGCCGACCTACTCGGCTATTCTTGAAAGGGACTGGATTCATACCACTCAATGTGTGCCGTCAACTCTCCACCAGAAAGTCATGTTCTGGAATGGGAATCAAGTCGAAACAGTAAAAGTCGAAACCGATCCTGTCATGGAAGTACATTCTTCCGAAGCCGTATATTATTCTCCGGAAGTCAACGCACTTTCTATGATGCAGGAGGACGCAGAGATATAGAAAGAGTGTAACTTAACCATCAAAGGGTTCGAAATCACAACAGAGGCCGACGAATGGCCTGACGGTCCAGACAGTCGTCATGTATGACAGCCTAATCATACGAGAGTGGGAGGCAAGCGATCTTGCCGCCCAGTTACCTGACAAGCTGGCAAAAACGGTTCCCTGACCACCTACATACGATCAAAACGAAGAAAATGTTCAACTGCCGATCCAGAGGGCTACCCCTTCTTTTGCAGCTCAAGATCCTCTAGAAAAGGTTAACCTAGGGAGCAATGCAGCACCGCGGATGACGAGGATTAGCACTCTACTAGACGGCAGCGCAAAAGAGAAACTGGTCGCTCTGATCCGTGAATTCGGAGACTGTTTCGCATGGGACTACCATGAGATGCCAGGGTTATCAAGAAGGCTGGTGGAGCACCGATTACCCATCAAGAATTCATGCCGACCCCATAAGCAGGCCTCTAGGCCTTTCAACCCAGAACTATTGCCGAAGGTAAAACAGGAGGTCGAAAAACTTCTCAAGGCTAATTTCATTCGAACATGCAGGTATCCAGAATGGATCTCAAATATCATGCCCGTGCCGAAGAAGAATGGGAAGATCCGTATCTCCATTAATTTCCGGAATCTCAACTTAGCGACTCCAAAAGACGAGTATGTAATGCCAATCACCGACATTATCGTAGATTCTACAACGGGATATGAAATCCTATCGTTCATGGATGGATACTCAGGGTACAATCAAATATACTTGGCCGAAGAAGATACTTATAAAACGGCCTTCCGTTGCCCCGGGGCAATCGGAATCTTTGAATGGATAGTCATGCCTTTTGGTTTAAAGAACGCCGGAGCCATTTACCAGAGAGCGATGAATGCCATTTTTCACGATCTGATCGGCGCTAGCATGGAGGTAAATATAGACGACGTAGTCGTGAAGTCCCGAGTCTTCGCCGATCACCTACTGGATCTTCGCAGGGCCTTCCTACGAATGAGGCAGCACGACCTCAAGATGAACCCGGCCAAATGTGCTTTTGGAGTACAAACAGGAAATTTCTTAGGGTTCTTGGTACATCAAAGGGGTATCGACGTTAATAAAAACAAGGCTAAGGTTGTCCAGGATCTCGGGCCTCCCCGCAACATAAAGAAACTACAAAGCTGATGGGAAAGGTCAATTTCTTCAGGAGATTCATCGCCAACGCTGCTGGTAGGATGAAAGCCTTCTCTACGTTATTCCGGGGGAGGAAAGACGCATTCAAATGGGGAGATGCCCAGCAGCAAGCCCTGGATCAGATCAAGCAGGCGTTAACATCTCCGCCGGTGTTAATGCCGCCGATCCGTGGAAAAGGGCTAAAACTATATATAGCCGCGACAGACGATACGATAGGTTGTCTGCTAGCCCAGGATGATAACGAAGGTCGGGAACGTGTTGTTTATTATCTTAGTAAGACCCTAAATGAAGCCGAAACTTGGTATTCAGGCATTGAGAAACTTTGCTTATCCCTATATAATGCCTGTACAAAATTAGAATATTATCTATTGCCTATCGAAACTATGGTTATATGTAAAGTTGATCTCCTCCGCTATTTGCTAAACAGGCCAGTCCTTTGAGGCCGTTTGGTTAAATGTGCACTAAAATTAACATCATTCTCATTAACATATCAACCCCTCAAGGCCGTCAAAGGACAGGCCATTGCCGATTTTTTAGCCGAACACCTAGGGATGGTTCAAGCCACAGCGATAGATTATGTAGGGGTGGAACCCTGGATAGTGGCTTTCGACGGTTCTAGTACCATAGGGGCAGCAGGAGCAGGTGTCATAATCCATAACCCAGGAGGAGAGGTATGTCGCTTTGCACACCAACTCCCGCAAGGTGTCACAAATAACCAGGCCGAATATGAAGCTTTACTGTTAGCTTTACGTTTCCTCGTGGCCCGAAAAGTCATGAAGGTTGTCATCCGAGGGGATTCTCAATTAGTCATCCGACAGGCCCTTAAAGAATTCAAGTGTAGAGATCCGCAACTTCTGATTCTTCTTCACGAAGTCCATAGTCTTCTACAGCAGCTTACAGACGTAGTGTTAGAAGATATACCCCGAGATGAAAATGCGGAAGCAAAAGACTTGGCACAGTGGGCGTCCAGTTTCAAAAGGGGACACATGCCTCGGGAAGTCGAATGTTCACAGGTCGATAGGCCAAGTCCAGATTGGCGAACCCCCTTGCAGGAAGGGTTAGCCAACCCTTGGAAGGCCACGACAAAAGCCGAACGATATCAGCTCATGAAATACACTCAAATCAATGGGGAACTATATTGACGTAGGTCGGACAGGACGCTGGCGCGCTGCCTAGGGCAAGAAGAAGCACGGAAGGCCATGGCAGAAATCCACAAAGGCATTGGAGGGGCACATAGAGCTGGACCTACGATGAGATGGACGATACTTCGCTATGGCTATTTTTGGCCACAAATATCGCAAGATTGCATCGATTATGCACGTGGGTGTCCGGCCTTTCAACATCATGGACCGCTCCGACAAATCCCAGTAGTGGAACTCCATTCGATCGTTAAGCCTTGGCCCTTCCTGGGTTGGGCGATGGACGTGATTGGAAAGATCCATCCCTCGTCCTCTAAAGGGCATTCGTTTATTCTTGTGGCCACCGACTACTTCACAAAATGGACGGAGGCCATACCACTCGTCAAAGTGCAGCAGAGCCACATCATACGCTTCATCAAGACGAATATCATCCATAGATTCGGCATTCCCAAGACTATCACTACTGATCAGGGTACAACATTCGTGGGGACGAAGGTCAAGGCATTTGTGGCTCAATATGGAATTCAATTGCTCCATTCTTCCCCCTACTACCCTCAAGCTAACGGGCAGGCTGAGGCGACGAACAAGGGATTGATCTTAATTATCAGAAAGACGTTGGAAGATAATCCAAGAAGTTGGCACGACACGCTAGACTAAGCACTTTGGGCATACCGGAACGCCAAATCCTCGGTGACCGGCAGTACCCCCTACCGCCTGACTTATGGACACGACACTATGCTCCCACTGGAAATTACGGTACCATCACTCCGGATTTTGCAGGAGAACGGGCTCGCAATAGAGGAAAATGACCAAATGTTACTACATGAGCTCGACGCTTTGCCCGAAGAGAGATTGCGAGCACTCGAACATACGCGAGGTCAAAATAAGAAAGTGGAAAGGGCCTTCCAAAAGCATGTTAGATCTCAGACCTTTCAGGAAGGTGATATGGTTTGGAAAGCCATTCTTCTGTTTGGGCCAAACGATCCGAAATTCGGAAAATGGTCACCCTCGTGGGAAGGACCATTCATCGTATCGGCTAAGACAACTGGTGGCGCATACGGATTAATGGAACCCGAAGGGAAAGAGTCGAAAACGGTCATTAACGGCAAATATCTTAAGCAGTTCTATCTGTCCGTTTGGGATCTTGAATAAGAGGTGAGCCTCTGATCAAAAGGGTGGTTAATTCATAGACAAAACAAATCCATCCATCATCCGTAGACCACTATCACAAAAGGAGTAAAAAACAAAAGGGGAGGGGCAGATTCAAGTCAAAGTTACACAAATGTGAGATAAGTTACTTGCTCGCAAGAGAGTCGCTCGAACTTGCATCATGCGTAACGTGAACATCAACGAGCCCAATACTAGCGGCAGACATGCTTGAGACCGGTGGATTAGACGTTTTCCTGGTGAAGTACGAGCCCCCAGTTACAGCGACCAGCATGGGGGGAAAACGACCGGCAGACTCTGAAGTCCCAGGGCGCAAAGAAGCCCATGAGGCTGTTACACTCGGCCAGAGAAGACGCAGCTCCTCTAACCCCCATTCCGCCCTTTGAAGGTTCTTCTCAAAAACAAGTTTTTTGCCACGGAGCCCAGACAGAGGTTCGTCCAACGCCCTCGCGCGATCATACGTCTTCATCCTACGAGTGGTTCTGGAAGCAAGACTCGCGGTTACCCGTGCTATTTCTGGTGGGATCTCTCTCAGACGCTTTTCTATCCTGCTTAATTCCGAATATAAAGCTTTTTCCTCGGCATGGAGACCTTCTATATATGTTGTTTCATTCTCAACATGCTGTTTTTCGGCCAGAAAACTCCAAGCACAAGCCGCTTTCTCTATCTCCAGGGTCACCAACTCTTTGAGTTTACCGTCATTCGTGCCGCGGACACTCTGCAGCATCTTCAGGTGACCGGAAATTTCGCCCAGGCGATCGGCAAGTTCCTCTAGCTGTTGGCGACGCGGCAGGCCCAGCGACAAGGGAGCGGCCGCCGTTAGAACGGATGTTTGCAGGGTGTCGAGAACGACTGAGTCCTCCGGTAGAGCCGATTGATATCCACTAAAGGGATTCGGACATTCAAGACTGACTGGGGTAAAGGCGTCGGCGACAAGGTTTTGAGCAAAGTACGCTTCCATGTCGGCAGGAACAACCTTCAGGGCCAAAGGAGTAGATGGAGAAAGAGATGTCATGACAGGCTCACGCCGGGTGGAGGCCGGAGAACGAACCCGGGCCGAATAAACCGACCCTGCCGGAGTAGTAATCCCTCGCAAAACCTGCGTACGTTTATCCAATTAGAATTCGAGCCTAGTAAGTGATCAAAACTGGCAGATAGACTCATACCGGGAAAGACGGTGAAGGAGACAGATCTCTCAGGTGAATTGGCGGCGGTCTCAGAGCCTGTCCCGCGTGAAGAACCTGCCAAGAAAAGTCATCAAAGATGCATTCTTGCAGGAAAAGGGAAGGGTAATGCATACGTGAACTGGAGATGTCCAGGAATGAGAATCTTCAGTGGGAACAACGGAGGACACGGGAGTAGGTTTCGTAGGAGGAATCTGCAAAAAAAGAACAGCGAATTATAAGGCTTCTGTCTCGTCAAAAGGGAAATTACCATTCGAAATACCTGAAGGGGTGGCGATGGAGCTGGCCGTTTGGCGTGGCGCTTCGGCCGTAACTTGGGCGCGGCTGGTTTTGATATCAGTCTCCGGGAACGGCGAGTGGCTGAAAGTGGCACAGATGAGGCACCCGTTGCGAGAAGTGCACCTGCGATCGAAAGAAAAAGATCGGTTATTACTCGCCTTCGAGTTATATGAAAGCAGGTAAAGTACCTATGGCTAAAGATACTAAAACTTCCTCCACCTCATCGGAAGCTGCAGCGGGAGAATCCTTTCCACCTGAATGTTGGTTATCTGGACCGAGCAGGGACTGCCGAAGAGCCGCCACGTTCGAGTGAACCAAAAACTCAGCCCACCAGCCATCAAAGGAAGGCAATGTGCTCGGATTAGAAGCATAGGGTGAATGTGGCAGTTCTTCTATATCACGGATGTAAGCGTGCCAATCATCAAGGAGGGACGATCCCAACGCCTGACCCGCGGAAAGAGGAGGCGGTAAAAGGAAAGCAAATAGGGTGATTCCCTGAACCAGACCAAACTGGCGCGTGCAATACTGAGGTTGATAAACTTCTCCTAGCAAGGGATTATGTCGAGAGGCCACCTATAATCCCCCGACTAAGATGTGAGCAGTAAGACATTTGTTCCAACTCATGGAGTGAGAAAAGTCGGCGGTGCCAACAACAGAAGTGTCACAAGATGAGAAGAAACCCGACAAAGGGCTGAAATCGGCCGGGGGCTGATTAGTCTCATGTAAAAGGGAGTGGGTGAGCGAATGGAGATCGCCTGGAAAAGGGGGATACGATGCCAAGTGAAGACCTAAAGGTACGAACGGAGGAGAGGAGAGTTGAAGACGCGGGCTGATCAAATTTGGGAAATATAGCCGCGCCCATAACTCATGAAACCACAGAGGACCCGCTCCGACCGGCTCGCGGGAAGAAGACACGGAGAGTTTTTCCAAAAACTCATTCACTCCACGGCATAACAGACCCAAGAAATATGAGCCAAGTCTATCTCTGCTCCAGACATAAGTACGCACACAATCAGTTCCACCTCCCGAACAAACCTTTTCGATGCGCAGCAAACGAAATACTTCCTAAACCAAAACATAAGGAAAGCATTGTGTTCTAGGGATTTGACGGGGCCAGAGAGCATGTTCGACACAATGAATTGACTCATGGTGGTGTTTCTATTATAAGCAACAGGAATAGACACGATCGGAGCTGTACGATGGAGATAAAGGAGGTTCTACTCCTTTTGAGAAGGCCTAAGATTGCAACCACGTCCAACACGGTCGGGGCCACAATCCCGAAATGGAGCACGAATGCATTTATACTAGGGCTCCAAAAACATAAAAGGGATTTGATCATATGATTGTCGCTAGGAATAAAATCAGTACACACCGACAACATATACCGAATGCCCCAGGTTTGCCATCGCACCCCATACAGAGGATCTAACCTATCTTTCCACGATATGAACTCAGAAAAACTACTAGGAAGTCGGAAAATGCGGAAAGGAAAAACAGCAAGATTGAACCAAGATTGGGCTAGCAAGAGCTTACCCCCACCGAGGGCGTCGAAAGAACCCTCCGGCAACTCGTCTCGATCTTTCGCGAAAGGCACAAGCCCAAAGCGAGTACCGCCGGATGACAGGGGAGCTCTCCCGGAGTGTGTCGGAGGACGATGGCCGGACTGAACACCCGGCTTTGACTTCGACATCGGAATTCCCCCCGTTGCGAAAAGACCGTGGGAAAACCTCGCTAGCGTTCCTCTGCCCACCGGTCACCGAAACCACTGAGAATGCCGTCCGGTAGTGTCGTCAGGGGAAGACCAAGAATCACGATGAGAAGTTGAAGGAAGAAGTCCCCGGTGAAAGACGAAGGGAAGAGCTCGAAGGACAAGGGTTTCTTTCGCGAGCAAGAAGAGAGGGAGATAAAGTGGGGAAAGAAATTTATGGGGATACCAAGAAGATGGGACAGTACGCGCGAACCAAGATTCAGAAGATTACAAAACTATCCGGAGATCAAATTAATTTTTACCCGAGATAGTTTTGTGGGGGGCATTTGTACACTCCAAAAATCAACAAGAGGTCCAATCCATATTGGGAGCCCAACCTAGGGAGAACATGGCCCACAAGAAGGCCCATATCAACAAAATACTTGGTCAAAGGAGAAACAGATAAAGCATAATTTGAAAGTGAGAAGAATTTGGGAGAGGTTGGAGAAAAATAAGGAATGAGGAAGGGATGCAGCAGCAGGACGGTGGTGAACAAAGAGAAAGGAGGGTTTCACACCTAATTGGCTGATACCATGTGAAGTTTGGAATAATATGATTTATTGCCTATTGAAGAGAATTTCATCATAGGATTATATAGAATGATAAGAGTAATCTATGAAATAAACTAGGGAAGGTAAGTAAAGATAAGAGTAATCTACGGGATACAATCAAGGAGCTAAGTATAGAAGATGCATAATTATCTCTAACAGGTACTTCATGGAAACTTTGTTGCGGAATTTCACCCGCTTTCATTCAAATTCTCCGGGACATTATAGATTTTTATAAACGACACTAAAATAAATTTTGTGATTCTCACAACATTCTTTCCAATATTCCTTTTTAACAATTTCTATTAAGAAATAATTAATCAATTGCATTGACGAGGATGAGAATAGATGCAAATGAAATCAATTATATTATAAAATATTTAGTATGATATCAATATGAATAATTTTTCATTAATTTATGTGGATGATTAAGTTTTAATTTGCATCTCTCATTTTATCCTGCGCTATATTTTTGTCTCCTTGTAATGACGTTTTGAAAATAATTAAGCTCTGTCAATACACATATAATATATATAATTTCAAATATATATTTTTTATTGAAAAATTATATTATCCTTTTCTTTTCCACTTATATATACCCGTCTGTATAGTGTAAGTATTCACAGCCATTTTTTCATGTTGCCCGCTTCTCGATTTATACTCTTTTTCCTTATCTTCAAGCTTTTTCCGTTCTCTCACCGGCATAATGATGAGCGAAATACACGTTTTTTTGCATGTCGACCATTACTTTGAGCACCTTGCTCATTCAATTGTGATGCTTGAGGAGTGTTGGTACAGATGTAACCGACGTAGATATCAAAATTACATACAATTTTGCTGATAAATGCTATTTGTTTTGCTCCAGACACTACGAAAAAAAAAAATCGCAAATTGCTATGGAAATCTGCAAAGGTTTATATTCAATCACAACATTGCAATGGAAATTACAATGATAAATGTAATCCATTGTAATTAATAATTTTTGCAATGAAATATTAAGGCAAAAACAAGAAGTTGTAATTCAGTAATGGAATATACAAAGAAATTGATTATGTCGCAAAATAACTACTAATTAGACAACCAAATATTTAAACCATTGCAAATTTAGCAATAGAATTTGCAAAACCAAATATATTCATTCCATCACAAAATATATAATTATACTAAATTGTATGTGACGAATAATTAGATCTGTTGCATTTTTGCAAGGAGTTGTACAACGGATGTTTATTCAATCACAACCAACAAATATTTATCATCCCTAGCTTCATCAAATCACACCATCGCCTACCCACTTCTCCACCGATGCAAACACACCCATCCCGTAGCCACTCTCCCTCACCCGTTTACATCAATTTCAATCGTTTCTCATATTTTATCACCACCGATAGGGCTTTGGAAGCTTAATTTTTCTCGATAAAGATTCAGCAGCAGCTGCGGCTCTCCGGCGGCGTAGGTGAGCAACTTCATTTTCCTCTTCTGTAGTTTTGTCGGAAGGTTTGTACGCTCAATCCTTAACCTTACGTTAGGTTAAAGTTTATTGTTGGGAGATTTTTTTTGTAGTTTTTCAATGAGCATAGAGTAAAAAAATTTTTTTGATGTCTTAGTTTGGGGATTTTGTGTCTGATGTTCACTCGAGGCCAGATCTGCTCTGTTGTTGAGGCAGCTCGGTATTTTGAAGGTTCTTGTAGTCGGGTGACCTTACATCTGATGAATATGGTTGTTCATTCTCTGTAACCTTTATTTGTTTATTTATTTTATCTTAAGGATAAGAATGTTGCACCTTCAAGCTATTGCTTACATATTTTATAGTTCTAGTCAACAGCTATTTTTTATATGCTATTGTCCCTCTTGTAAATTTCTTTGTTCTATTTCTTAATTAATCATGAAGATTTGAAGCAACAAAACTATGGTATATAACTTTGTAAGTGAAACATTGAGATTTCTTTGATGAAGATCAAATAGCCTGTCTTAGCTGAATATTATACTGGTTATGGCGGAAAAATTGAAAGACATCTGCAGGTTCTGATCCTTTGCAAAAACTCATTAAATTAAGCATATGCTTAGTTTATCGTATTTTCCATTTGGACCTAAGATTGGCATGTGAGGCTATTCAGCTCCGTGTTAGAAACTATTGTGTGTACTGAATTTTCTTTCGAAAAGATTTATGTTAAGAAACTTCTAATTAAAGATGCAGAACTGACTGAGATATGTATCATCAAGAATAAGTATTAGAGATTAAAATCCTTCAATTTTTTCATTAAAATTCTAGAATAGAACTTTTATCTAATGTACTGGAACAAAATTTTGCATTCTAATTCATACATTGTATGTGTATGGCATGCAGATGGTGTGCCAAATCTTGCCAAAGTGGAGATTGTAGATGATGAAAACGTAAATAAATGGAGCTTAATGCTTTCGTTTTATGTATTGGCCATTTTCAATTTTATTAGTTCTATAGCCAATTTTGATTATGGAAGTGTAGCAGCCAGCAAACAATTGTATCTCACAGTGTAGATTTATGCACTCTGATGATACTTTGCCTCTCAGAGTGTATATTTATGCAAACAACTTTTTTAGTTCTGTAAGTGTTTATTCTCCTTTATCTGATGTCAAGGCAACATTTTTCTCATTAATGTATCTGATATTACTCGAGTTCCCATTTGTACCTACCTTCACTTCGGTTATATTTCATTTGTCTTTACTTTGTAATACTGATTGCTTTCTTTTTTTTTTGTATTTGCATCCAATTTATGTTCCAAAACAAAATGCAGAGTACAAACTCTTTGTTGGTATGCCTCCCAAAAAAGTTTCTGATCACGAGATCTTTGCTATATTTTCGGAGTCTGGAACCATAACAGATTTTCGGAGTTTGGAACCATAATAAGCAAAGGTGAGTGGTTTAATTTCTCCTATGCCTCAAGCTTCTCAATTGAATGAGTAAGGTGCTCAGACTCATTGTCGACACGCAAAACGTGTAGGTCGCTCATCATTATGCCGGCAAGAGAACGGAAAAAGCTGAAGAGAAGAAAAGAAAGTATTAATCGAGAAGCGGGCAACTTGAAAAAATTGCAGTGAATACTCACACTATGCGGACGGGTATATCTAGATGGAAGAGAAAAGGATATAATATCATTTTTTAATAAAAAATATATATTTGAAATTATATATAAATATATATTATATGTGTATTGCGTTACCTTAATTATTTTCAAAACTGTCATTACAAGTAAACAAAAATATAGCCCGGGATAAAAAGAGAGATGCAAATTAAAACTTAATCATCCACATAGATTAATGAAAAATTCTTTATATTGGTATAATACTAAATAGTTTTAATATAATTAATTTCATTTGCATCTATTCTCATCCTTTTCAATGCAATTGATTAATTAAGTTTCAATAGAAATTGTTAAAAATGAAATACTTGAAATAATGTTGTGAGAACAGCAAACTTTATTTTACTGTAGTTTATAAAAACTTATAATGTCCGTGGTGAATTTGAATGAAAGCGGGTGAAATTCCATAACAAAGTTTCCATGCAGTACCCAAGGCCTAAATTTAAGGATTCAGCCGATTCCAAAAGAATAACACTCCCGATTTGTAAATTTTTTAAAAGTAATTTTTATTCCCACAAGATCAAAAAATTAAGCATCGGTACAAGAGTGCGCTGGAGAAAATTCAGCGTTTAATCCAGATATCCATCTCTATAATGAATGCGCACGATTTCTACACGACAATCTATTCAAAATAAAAGATCACCGCACAAGAGCAATAAAATTCAAAATCATCGAAGTTAAAACGGCTGGAGCAAAACACATAAGTATTTATCGACAAAATTGTATGTAATTTTGATATCTATGTCGGTTAGCATTGTACCAACACGCCTCAAGCATCTCATTTGAATGAGTAAGGTGCTTAGAGTCATGGTCGACACGCAAAACGTGTAGGTCTGCTCATCATTATGCCGGCGAGAGAACGGAAAAAGTTTGAAGAGAAGGAAAGAGAGTATTAATCGAGAAGCGGGCAACTTGAAAAAATCGCAGTGAATACTTACACTATGTGGACGGGTATATATTGGTGGTAGAGAAAAATATATATTTGACTGAGCTTAATTATTTTAAAAACGTCATTACAAATAGACGAAAATTTAGCGCATGATAAAAGGGGAGATGCAAATTAAAACTTAATCATCCAAATAGATTAATTAAAAATTATTTATATTGGTATTTTACTAAATATTTTACAATATAAATAATTTCATTTGCATCTATTCTCGTCCTAGTCAATGTAATTGATTAATTCTTTTTTATGTGTGCATGCAATATAGAGATAGATATTAGAATCAAATATGAATTTTCTCCGGCGCACTCTTGTACCGATGCTTAGTTTCTTGATCCGGAGGGAATAAAAAGTAAATTTTAAGAAGTTTACAAATCCGGGGCTTAATTTTTGTGGAATCGGCTGAATCCTTGAATAAGGCCTTGGGTACTGCATGCAAACTTTGCTGTGGAATTTCAAACGCTTTCATTCAAATTCTCCATGGACATTATAACTTTTTATAAACAACAATAGAATAATTGTGGTTGTCGCAACCGTCTTTCGAATATTCCGTTTTTAACAATATCTATAAAGAATTAATTAATCAACATTGACGAGGATGAGAATAGATGCAAATGAAATTAATTATATCATCAAATATTTAATATTATACCAATATAAATAATTTTTCATTTACCGATCTGAATGACTAAGTTTTATTCTGCATCTCCATTTTTATCTTGCGCACATTTTATTGTACTTGTAATGATATTTTTTAAATAACTAAGCTTAGTTAATACACAAATAATTTCAAATATATATTTTTTACTAAAAAATTATATTGTATCCTTTTCTTTTCCACCTATATTTCTTTTCCACCTATATATTAACCTGCGCGCATATATAGTGTAAGTATTCACTGAGATTTTTTGAGATTTTTTTATGCTGCCTGGTTTCCGATTAATACATTCTTTTTCCGTTCTCTGGCCAGCACAATGATGAGCGAGATACACGTTTTGTTTGTCGATCATGACACTGAGTACCTTACTGATTCAATTAAGATGCTTGAGGCATGCAGGCACAGAGGTAACCGACGTACTTATCAAAATTACATTTAATTTTGCCGATCAACGGTTATGTGTTTTGCTCCAAACGTTTTAACTTCGACGATTTTGAGTTTTATTGCTTTTGTGCGGTGATCTTATATTTTGAGTTGATTATCATATAGAAATCGTGCGCATGCAATATAAAGATGGATATCAGGATTAAATGCTGAATTTTCTTCGGCGCACTCTTGTACCAATGCTTAATTTCTTGATCCGGAGGGAAAAAATAACTTTTAAGAAGTTTACAAATCCGGGGCTTAATTTTTGTGGAATAGTTGAATCCTTAAATTTAAGCCTTGGGAACTGCATGGAAACTTTGATGTGCAATTTCACACGCTTTCATTCAAATTCTTCATGGACATTATATTGTTTTTATAAACGACAGTAAGATAATTTTGCGGTTGTCGCAGCCATCTTTCGAATATTCCTTTTTTTAATAATATCTATAAAGAAATAATTAATCAATTGCATTGACGAGGATGAGAATAGATGCAAATGAAATTAATTATATTATTAAATATTTAATATTATACCAATATAAATAATTTTTCATTTATTGATCTAGATGATTATGTTTTAATTTGCATATCCACTTTTTGCCGCCTACATTTTTGTCTCCTTGTAATGATATTTTTTAAATAACTAAGTTTTGTCATGGAATTTCACGTGCTTTCATTCAAATTCTCCATAGACATAGTATGTTTTTATAAACGACAGTAAAATAATTATGTGGTTGTCGCTACACTCTTTCGTATGTTCCTTTTTTAACAATATCTATAAAGAAATAATTAATCAATTGCTTTGACGAAGATGAGATTAAATGCAAATGAAATAAATATATTACAAAATATTTAGAATTTTACCAATATAAATAATTTTTCATTTATCGTTCTGGATGATTAAGTTCTAATTTGCATCTTCCCGTTTATCCCACGCTGTATTTTTGTCTCTTTGTAATGACATTTTTTAAATAATTAATCTTAGTAAATACACATATAATATATATTTATATATTATTTCAAATATATTTTTTAATTAAAAAATATTATATCCCTTTCTAATCCACTTATATATACCCGTCCGCATAGTGTAAGTATTCATTGCGATTTTTCCATGCTGTCCAGTTCTCGATTAATACTCTATTTCCTTCTCTTCAAGCTTTTTCCATTCTCTCACCTTCATAACGATGAAAGACATACACATTTTGCTTGTCGACCACGACTCTGAGCACCTTACTCATACAATTAATATGCTTGAGATTGATAGAATATTAACAAAATATAGAATAATAAAGGAGAAAAATAAACTTTATTTCTCGATATTTTTCTCTACAAAACTATTACAAAACACACATGTTACTAATTTATTATCCAATATTCACTCAATCATAATTTATCATTCAATATCTACTAAATCAAAATATATATCAAACTTTATTATATAATAACCAAATTAATATAGGATTATTCTCAATTAATATCATAATTAAATTATATCACCCTCCCATAATGACGATATTCTGCATATTCCATGCTCGCGGGGCTTGTTTGAGTCCATACAAGGCCTTCTTCAATTTATGCACCTTGTGCTCACTTCCATGCGATTGAAATCCGGAAGGCTGCTTCACATAAATCTCCTCTTGAAGTAGGCCGTGCAAAAATGCAAATTTTACATCCATTTGATGTATATTCCAACAATTTTGCGCAGCTAGGCTATCAACAACCTTATCGTCTCCATTCGAGCTACAGGTGCAAATACTTCTTAAAGTCGAATCCGGGCCTTTGTTTATAGCCTTTCGCCACAAGCCTCGCCTTATACCTCTCTACTTCTCCATTTTCCTTCAACTTCCTTTTAAAAACCCACTTGAAATCAATGGGTTTACAACCATATGGAGCATCTACAAGCTCCCAAGTATCATTTTTTTCAATGGAACTCAATTATTCCTCCATAGCTTTCACCTATTTAGTATTTTTCATTGCATCATCAACCGAGGCTGGTTCGCAATCTGCAATATGCACAATTTCTCCATCATTAGAAATGACATCATCAGAGGTTACCTCATAGTCACGTAGTGTGACTGGAAGTTGTCGTTGACGCCTTGGCCTTTCATCGGAGCATTGGCTTGTGGCCTTTCATTGGAAGTATTGGCTTGTATAGTTTCTTCAACAATTAATACTATGAATTCCACCTTGAGAAGCACCTTCAAATAATTCAACAGCTCGGTTTTGAGTGGCTTGAGGCAAACTCCAACTCCATGTTTCATCCTCCACAATAATGACATCTCTACTAATGATGACTTTATTTAATGTTAGGTTAAAAACTTTGTATCCTCCATGCGCATAACCCACAAAGATGGCCTTTTCTCCACGATCATCAAGCTTTGTTAGAGTGGCCGCCGGAATGTGTACATAGACCACATAACCAAATTCTCTCAAATGTTGAACTTTAGGTTTGATTCCGCACTATGCTTCTACCGGCGTCAAGTCACGAATAGCTTTTGTTGGAGACTGATTCAACAAATACACCGAACAAGCGACAACTTCTCCCTAAAAGGAATTCGGCAACCCTTTGGCTTTCAACATGCTTCTTGACATATCCAAGATGGTTCTATTCTTCCGCTCCGCAACTCCATTATGCTGAGAAGTGTAAGGTGGAGTTATCTGATGCTTGATTCCATGATCCTCTATAAAACACTTGAACTCAGAAGAAATATATTCACCGCCACCATCTGTTGGCAACCTCTTTATAGAAAAACCACTTTGTTTTTCTACATGAGCTTTAAATTTCATAAAGCTTGTGAACACTGCAGATTTCTTAGGTAACAAATAAACCCAAATCTTTCGAGAAAAATGTCAAGAAGTACCTGTTGTTGCAATGAGATTCAACACTCATCGGGCCACAAACATCGGAGTGAACAAGACCCAATAAGTGATTCGCCCGCTAATTATTTTTAGTTTTGAATGGTCGCCTATTTTGCTTTCCTGAAATGCATACTTCACACACTTGATTCGGGTGATCGATCTTTGGCAATCCTTTCACCATATTCCTTTGAGCAAGCATTTTCAAGCTTTGAAAAGTCAA